AAAATATTAACAGAATATGCTATTCTGAATATGCTAATCTTTTTACAAATACTAAGATATGTGAAGTTTCATTCAAATTCTTCATAACTGTTCAGCATTTGGCAACAAATAAAGTTTGCAAACAGACCACCACTACATCTGCCTAACATAGAATTAGAATATATAAAAGAAAGATACCAGAACCTCACAGTTACTAAAATATATTAATGGATGACTACAAAATGTCAAATTTTGCTCCGTTTTGGGGACATTTCTTCACAAAAAGATGAGTTACATGAAACAGTAATAACACATATACTTTTATAGGATATTGTATCTTGTCACATGTACATACAAAGCTGAAAACATGTGGGTTGTTCAAAGAAGGAAGAAAAGTCACAGTTAAACATTAATAAGAAGAAGTGATATATTTATCTCGAATAGAAGAGAACAGAACAGAACAGAATTGAATTGTTTATTGGACGCACAAGGAATTTGTCTTCGGTGCATAAACTTTCACTGTACATATAAGCAACAAGTGATAAATCATGATCATAATCATCATAAGATGCATTCATCATAAATCATAAGATACAACACTTAGTGACAATTATTTTGTGGTATCATAGCAATTCATTCTTGCAATGTAGGATTAAAGCATTGTTTTTGTTAAGGTGCCTTTTACCAGTCAATATTTTAATATTTCTAAAATGTTATAGTCAGAAAAAGCATTTTAGCATTATACGAAGATTAATTTTCAAAAAGTGATAAAATAAAACCCATTCACTAGCTTAACAGATCCCTGTCTTTCAGAAACAGATCAAACAAGCCTACATCTGTAGACAAAGTTATTCTTTTATTTTGTTCCAAAATCAGTTTCTATGAGATAAAAAAAAAAACACCTACTTATCTTTCTAGTTATATGTACTGAATGTTCTAATAAAGTACACAACATATAATTCATTGCAGAAATGTTAATTAATACAAATCCTTTTTAGAATGGAATTTTGATCCAACATTTTTTAAAATTGTCATTAAATCAGTTAAAAAAATATTTTAAAAAAATCTATAGAAAACAGCATTATCCTCTACATTCACAGTGTTTTCTGAAGTATGGACCCTTTGTATACATTATTTCCATTATCCTGTTAAAATATTTAGCTAATTGTTTTAGGAGTTAATTCATTTTTAGAATGAAACACAGGAAACAGCCCTGTTTGAACAAAATATCTTGTCCATTCACATAAAAATTGATTATATTTTGAATAAATTATATATCCCATAGGATGATGTACAACATATAATTTACTTCTGAGACTGCAGAATGAGCCCAGGAAACAATCTACCTGTGAAACACCCCATGTTGCCTGATGAATGGGGTCTTTGACATTACAAGGGGCTGAATGTTAAGCAAGATTAAACAGCTAATTTATAATAAATAAATACATACATACATACATACCAGAGGTGGGTTTCAGCCGGTTCTGTCCGGTACGCACGTACTGGTTGAAAGAATTTAGCGTGCCTTCCCATACCGGGGCTTTTGGGGGCCCGGGACTGGAACGGTTCCTCCCCTGGCCTGCCTCCCCTCACTTGCCCTCCAGCAGAAGCCTTCTAGGAGGTTTTGGCTGCCGCGCGCATGGAGGGAGGGTGGGGAATTGCAGAGGGAGGAAATTGCATGGATTCCCCACCCCCTTCATTGGAAACGAGGTGGCTGTCAGAGGAAAGAGCAGTGTGTGCCTGTGGGCTTGTCCAACGAATCCCACCCTCCTGTTCCTTCTTCTGCTGTTTGAACAAGCCACACGGGTCTTGTCTTTCATAGCCACCTCGTTTCCAATTGGGGGCAGGGGGAAAGAAATCGATATTTTCCGTCCCTCTGCATGGATCCCCGCCCCAATTGGAAATGAGTTGGTTGTGAAAGACAAGGCAGCGCCCCCTGTGCAGCATGTACAAATAGCAAAAGAAGGAACAGGAGAGGAGTTCCATGTGGGGCTTTTCAAACAGCTGAACTCCCCTCCTGTTCCTTCTTTTGCTGTTTATATGCGCCACACGGGTCACGCTCCCTTGTCTTTCACAGCTGCCTCGTTTCCAATTGGGGGGGGGGAGAAATTGATCTTTTCCATTCCTCTCCATGGATCCCCCTCCAATTGGAAATGAAGCGGGTGTGAAAGACAAGGGAGCGCGACCCGCGCGATGTGTGTGAACAGCAAAAGAAGGAACAGAAGAGGATTCCATGAGGGGCTTTTCAAACAGGCAAACTCCCCTCTTGCTCCTTCTTTTGCTGTTTGTACATGCCATGCCGGTTGCGCTCCCTTGTCTTTGACAGCTGCCTCATTTCCAATGGGGGGGGTAAGATGGCTTCTCTCAGAGAATCTCCGCTCTCTGGGGCTGTAATTGTGCAGGCTGTGCGCGCGTGCCTATGTTTTCTAAGGCATGGAGCGACTCCAGAGCCCATCTGCGACCCCCCGTGGAAAACATAGGTGCGCATGCACAGCCTGCACAATTACAGTCCCGGAGAACGGAGACTCTCAGAGGGAAGCCAGAGGCAACAGGGCAGCTGGGTCCCTCACCCTCAGAGGGAGGAAGGGCCAGTTGGGAGAGGGGCTTTGGTCCTGCTGCCTCTGGCGGACCGAACTTTACTGTCCCTTGAACTTGCCCACCATTGGCATGTGGAAAAATGATAATACTATTCAAGGATGTCAAGTTAAGCTATGAATTCATTATTCAAGATTGTAAGGACTAGATTTAAAAAACCTTCCCTATATATAATATGATATTGAGGGTTTTTTAAATATTAAAACAGTAAGTTTTTTAATGATATTTTACCAACCCCATATTGTATTCTGCCATTTGTATTTCAAACTGACTCCCAAAACGTATTTGTTATGTTTTATTAGCACAGCATACTACTATCTTACAACAATAGTACTGTCAAAAAGGGTAGTTACTGGTGAGGAGTGGTAAATTTAGTGCATTTGTAGGTCTAAACTATACCTAAAAGGGTTTTTTTTGGCACACAGTTTTTAGCTGAACTTTTTAGTAGTCAGATCACATGGTGTTCAACAAAAATATATGATTGAAATTATTTTCTTGAAAAATGCTACTTCATAAGTCTAGCACTGAAAAACATCAATACTAAACCTTTCACTAGTTGGGTTCAAGCCAAATATATTTCCTTTATTTTTTTCCTTTTTTTCTCTCTCCATTCCAGACTATGCTCTATGTACAGTATCCCTCCATGACTGGAAGCTGATCAGCCATTTTTATACAGGCTTGTAGTAAGAATTTTAATTAGTAGCTTAGGTTGCTAGTTTGACTTAGTGCTGTCCAATGGTTTGAAGATTCTGTTTTAATCATCAAGGTCAATATTATCAATCACACAAAAACTGAGGTAATGTCTTTTTGATACTACGAAAAAGAATTGATTTTATATGTAGAAATGAATGCCCTGATATAATGGTGCATGGGGCACTATTGGAAAATGGTGTATTTTATTTCATTCTTTTTATTCTGTTGGAAAATGGGGTTATGTGTTTCATTTCATTCTTTTATTCAAATTTGTACTAAGAAATTTCTCTGCTATTCTAAGAATATAATAGATTTTCAAGCAATTTTTCTTCACAGATGGAGACAAGTGACAAAGGCTGCAAAGGTTTAACAGTTCTTATTAAGTTAAGATTTACCACGGTGCTTTTATAGAAATGGAACCGTGTTTCTATTTTTTTTTAAATTTCTCTGTGTATATTTAATTGCTCCATCTGGTGACTTTTAAAAACAAGTGTTTACACATCTATATTCATATCTGAATGAAGAATCAAAATACATTTATAGTAACATTTTATATGGAAATCAAACAGCAGATTAGATGTTAGCTTTTCTGAGTTAAATAGATTAGGATGAAGGGTGGGAAACATTGGAACCCTAAAATAGAAGTTATATTTTTAATTCTTCAGTGTTAATTATGAATGTTGATCTTTTTGGCATTCATATCCCTGTGCATAGTACTATCTCAGCATATCAGGCTATCCACCAAATTCATATGCACAAATACTTACTTGACATGCAAATGCAAAAATGCTCATTTACTATTATTAGAAATGGCCTTTATCTGGAAGGCTAAAAAAAATTAACAAATAATGTTGTTAAACTATTACACAAAAGGAAAAGATACAAGTCTGTATTCCACTTGGTAGTTAAGGATAAATTAAATTTATTTGGAAGCACTCTACCATAGTTTGTTTTATTAGGTAGTAAATATTTTGTGTAAAGCATTATGGTGAGGTTTGTGGTGATTTTGTAAAGTAGTTAAAGGTTTAATCTGCCTCAGAACACTAGCTATAAAACTTGCAATGTACTTGCTCAAACAGAATGTGCTTAAATCATGATTACTGTATACTGGATTATTCAATATAAATTCTATGCAGCTAGATATTTGTACAGATAAAGTAAGGATTAACATTCCCAACATTCTCAAGGGTAAGAATTCTATAGACGCAACACAATAGCCAGACTTAATGCTCCAATGAAACGTTAAGTGCCACAGAGAATTTCTTTAACACCAACTTTTTTCTATGAAATTTCCTTCCAATCTCTATTGTCAAGTGTAACAAAATAAAATACACAAACACAATCACTCATATTCTTTTTTTATACCTTATACAAACAAATAGAAATATGGGGTGGAGAAGATTTCTTTTGTGTGTGTGCTTATTGCTCACTAGTCCTACAAGATAAGCAACACGAGGTTAAATAACTAATCTAGAGTACAGTTAATTTAGGGTCTCTTATTCACGCTGGAGCGCTACAGGTGAACTCTACAACCAGATTCATGGGCGTTCAGAATTGTACACAAGAAAGCATCTGACAGATTCCAAAACAATGTCTCAATCCGGAAACTGTTAAATGTTTTTTTTTAATAGTGAAAGCTGAAAAACGTAGAGGGGGGAAGGCTTTTTTTTTCCACATTTCAGAACATTAAAAATAAATTGGAGCAAATCATATTTCATAATGTAAACACCTACCACATATCTAGGTTTGCTGTTTGCCACCCGGCTGGCTAGAAAATCTTCATCATACAGCTGGCTAAAGACATGAGAATCGTAGGCCATCACAACGGAAATTTCTTCCATCATGTTGTCAGCAAACTCTTGTTAGCCGTGACCAGCAATAGGACGAAGGATTAGCTCAGTTCAGCTTAGTTCAGTGTGACTTTTTCACAGCAGCCACCTGAAGTGATTAGACAGGGAGTGTCACTGAAGAAACAAAAAAAAAAAAAGGAAAAGGAAAAAGAAAGAAAAGCTCCCGCAGCCAATGAGAACAGTTCCTGGATGCCGCTTTTCCTTTGGGAGTTTCCTTGGTCTCTGGGTGTCAGAGATAGTTGAAACACCTGTTCATATGTCCATATGGTGACAGTCTTTCCTTAAGTTTTCTTCAACCATAAAAAGTAATCTTCCAACAGAAAAATAATTCCGAAAGAAGCCGAGAGAAAGAGGAACGGTTCAGTCCACAGTGAAGATCTCCTATGTTCTCACAAAGCTTTCTTTAAATGCAATATTTAATCACACTAGATTCCTTTTAGTGGAGGAGTCAGATTTCTCAAGGCGAGTTCTTTTATGCCTTTTCCAAAGATTTGCACAGTAGACATGAATAGCATTTTGTCATGATTTGGGATTTTTTTCTGTATAACCTGCCGGATATTTCGGAAAGAATCCATATTTGCATGATTGGATATGTTTTCAAGGCAGGTTTGACTTTTTAAAAAATTATTCTAACATTAAAAAAATAAATTGGTATCTTTCAAATGAAGGTTAAAACATAACCAAGCTTTCTTCATTAGTCAAAAATTAAGATGGTAAAAATCTTATTTAAATGATATTCATTCACAAGAAATAAATTATTTTTTCACTTCGATGAAAGAGAATCCAACTCACTTTTATGTGCAATATCCCATCTTTTTAATTGAAAAAGGTGTTGGTCATTTCAGAGAACTGATAGATTGACCAACATACCAATAAAGAAAACCTTTAAAAAAAACTTTTTAACATTGTATTTCCATCTATGTTGTAAAATATTGGAAAACAACATTAAAAAATAGAATATATTTTAAAAATGACTCATTCTATTGCAGTTTCCTGCAATATTCTCTCCTGCCTAGCCATGTGATAAAAATCCTAATTATATACCGGTATATACATAATGACAGAAGTGATACTGCAATGACAAAATGTATGCTTCCAAGTCCAATTGTTAGCAAAATGTCACATGTTTGTCACTTGCAAAATGAAAATATAACTTTGCTCTGCCCTCAATTTCATTTTTCTCAGCAAGTACTCCCAAAATCTTCATGGTCATATTATTTGCACTTAAAAAGCAAACCTGGGAAATACCCTTTGTGTTTGAATAAGAGAGAAATAAAAGCACCAAATTATTGCTGTGAAAACTAGGCAGAATTTTAATAGGTTTAAATAAAGGAAGCATGAAGAACAAATCCTTGAGATTAAAATATCTCGTATTTAATCCAAAAAGCTATTTTAGTAATGCAGTTTGGCAATGCTGAGGCTAACGTGAGCTTACTTGTTTTCTTCCCAATGAAGGCAGCTCTGATCCATACTGTAAACAAGTAATTCTTCTTCTTCATCATCATCATCAGTGGGTCAAATCCCTGACTGTCATTCTAAATCCTCCACTTTATTCTTCGGAATATGTCACTGGGGTAGGGAATCTTTTCACAAAAGCATTTTTTTTAAATTAAGGTTTTCTGCCTTCAACTTCCTGGTTGAAAATCCGTGGTAGAAATGAAAGTACTCCTTCTCGTCTTTGTAGTTCTACCAGTCTTGACTCAGCAAGAGTTGATAATGTGTGCAAAAGGTGACTGAACAAAGACACCTGTTGTAGGAGAAAGCAAGGAATGGAACTTCCCGTGATTCTTTGCTGCCTGGGAAGGTTTTCAGGAAGGATCTGCTTACAAATGAGAAACGCCTAGGCTTCAAGAGTGCTCACCCTCTCGTATATTCTGTGTTAAAGACCAATGGATGAACCAGGAAATGGTAAATTTCCCCAAAACTAAGGGAGAAAAAACTTTAAAAGGCATCTAGATATTTTATGACTCAATCAAATGCAAAATGTAGATTAAAAAAATACAAAGAATCATTTTACCATACCCTACCTTAGCCAAACTACATTTAAAGTAGACTTTTTCTGAACTTAACAAGTAACACGATTCATTTCTGGATAGTAACCCTAACCTTAATTTCTCTCTCATTTAGCCTTCAAATATATTCTATTAGTTCTTCCTTTTAAGTTTCTATGCACAGCTTTCTAAAGGCAATCTAGGCATTGGATTAACTGGAGGACACTTATGACTGTGTAAGAGAAGAGTCTTACTTTTTTTTGCAATTTTTTATTTATTTTTAAACATAAAAAACAACATAAAAAAATTCTCATCCATTACATTACATTATCTCTTTCCATAGAAAAAAATACCAGAACTGGGCAGCTATCATAAGTAACTTGTTCATTGTTTGTGACTTTTCTATAGAGCAGCATAGGTGTATGCAGATTTACATACAGATTTTACATACAGATTTTATGTTTTAAGATAGTTCAAGCACTTTTCTGCAGAATAATTCATTAAGAAATTAATAATATACTAATTGCCATCTTATCTCAATTTTTAAAATTAATGTTGTGGTATTGTATCAACATTCCACAATGATCTTTCAGTAGAATGTATGGCAAAATGTTTCTCATCCTCCTTCCTGTTCTAATGATTTTCACCTATGAGTCAAGTTTCCAACTTTCATGATACATTTGTACTAGTTTAAATAAATAGTATTCAAAAACACCACTATTTTAAAACTTCCTTTGCATGACATATAGAGTATCAACAGATATAGAAAGTATGTGTCCATCCAGTCTACTTCTAGGATATCTACTCCAACTCTCATTTAGTACAGAACTACATTTCATCCGCACACCTTTTTATCTCACCTGGATGTAATGGATAACCACTCTCAATAGTTTCAGATGTTAAACAGGGTAGGGAAGAGGATCCTACACCACACCAAAACATTTCCAAGGATCTGACCTCTATCATCTCAACTGATTCTGTCCATCTAGATTCCAACTCAGAGCGAATATGAGTTATTGTTTTTTCTATAATGTGATTAATTTGCACTAATTTGTTCTTCTGGCCATTCCTGCCCTTAAGGGACACTCTCAATAGTATAGCTGGCAAAGATTCTGCAGATATAATAAAAATGGACAATTAATTTGGCTTCACTGCCCTTATCATGACAAAATAGGTTTAAACTTGAGCTTGTACACCTGTCATATCATATTTGCTTCTTGGTTTCCATGAGCATCTCTTCACTCATTTCATTTTTTAGAGTTCCTAAAAAAAACAACCAAGAAGCCAATTGGGAAAGTCAGGGAGATAGAGGCTCCAGAAGCTAACAAAGTGTTTAATAGAACTGCCGAGGTGGCGCAGTGGTTAGAGTGCAGTACTGCAGGCCACTTCAGCTGACTGCTATCTGCAGGTCGGCGGTTCAAATCTCACTGGCTCAAGGTTGACTCAGCCTTNATAATAATAATAATAATAATAATAATAATAATAATAATAATAATAATAATAATAATAATAATAATAGCTGTTCTTTCATAGACTTATAATTAATTTAATTAATAATTAAATAAGTAACCTGATCAAAAAGATGTACAATACATACAGCACTAAAAATATTTTTCACACAAACAATCTCACACCACTGAGGCAAGTGCAGAAAGAATTGCTACAATAGTTCAATGAAAAATAGTTGCCAACAGGCCATGGACCAGTAGTAGTCTGCAAACCAGGGGTTAGAAACCCCTGCCTTAGGAAATCCTAAAATAAGTGCATTTACTATAAACTGTAAAACGAGCCTCCTTCAGATGTTATTTTGCTCACTGTCAAGCAAACCATTAAAACCACAAAAAACAGACCACATTTAAGAATTTTTAGAGAGACTGGAGTTGCAACTGGACAGAGACATTGGTAGCAATTATTGACTCTGTCTATCTAAACAGATGAGTAACTAAATGGTTTAAGCCAATAGCACTTTAAGAAACAAAGAGATGGCCTTTCATTCCTCATATTTTTCCTGACTTCAGCAAAGTCTGATTGTTATTTTGCCAAACGCTCAAGGAACTAGATCGATGTGCCTTCAGAACAGTTTACCATATTAAAGTTCATGTTTGCTCAAGTAAAACTTTTGGACCACGCCAATTTTTCTGACTAAAACGTTTCTCCACTTTATCATTAAAAGATACCATCACCGTATTACAATTTCTCCTGAAAAACTGCTAACTTTGTTAACTATATACCTATCTATTGCTTAGGAACATATAGTATTCATGTACCCCTATCTTATTGATTCTGTTTTTTTTCTGCCATACAAGGGATTTATATATATTCTGAAGATATTGCTTTGCATTTGAAGATTTGTTTCATTAATACTTTTCAAATACAACATCCTATCCAACATTTGACTAGAAGACCTGTGTAAGAACAGCTACCCGTAATATGTAGGACAGGCAGAAGANTGTGTGTGTGTGTGTGTGTGTGTGTGTGTGGCAGTGGTGGGTTTCAAAAAATTTTGAAACCTCTTCTGTAGGCCTGCTTTCCGGGTCCACTGGTGGAACCTCTTCTAACCAGTTCGGTAGATTTGACGAACCAGTTAACCGGTTCTACCGAATGGGTGCGAACTGGTAGGAACCCACCTCTGCTTTACATAATGTGTCCTAAGTAGCATAATTTGAGCCCAGTCACTTGTGCTACAAGTAAAAATACTGGGTTGATTTGTTCAATGATCCACTTTTCTTGGCTCTCCGTGGTATTCTCAGGAGTCTTCTCAGATAACAAACTTCAAAAGCATTAATATTCTTCCTATCCTGATTCTTCAAAGTCCAACCTTTGTTCCCATAGAGTGTCACAGGGAATACTATGGTTTACTTGATTTTTATAGATGCAGAGACATCAAAGCATTTGAATACCTTTTTTTAAGGCCTACAGGGCTGCTTTACCAGGTGCTAGTAAGGGGCATATTTGTGACTGTTCCATTATTGTTGATGGTTGATCCTAAAGGCAGAACCTATCTATCACTTTGATATCTTCATTGTCAGTTCTAAGGCTGATTACTCTACCAGTTGTCATTAGTTTGGACTTCTTTATATTTAATTTCAGTCCCATTTTTTCACTTTGCTCATTGTGAGCAATGATTTTTATTATTAGAGCTTGAGGATCCTTTCCATTTTCAGCTATCCAGGCACTATCTTTGGCATAGACATACTACTGATATTTCTTCTTCCAATTTTAAAATCATGCTCATCTTCTTCCATTGCACATTTTAAAAATTGAATTCAGGGGGAGTACACCGCCTTGTCATATTCTTTTGCCTGAAGCCAATCTGTTTTATTGTGTTCTTCTTACTGTGGCTTCCTGATCTGTATATGTTTTTTTATGAGATCAATGAGATGTTTTGGCATGCCCATGTTTCTGAACACATTTCTTTTTTCCCCCCTTTATTTGTATGCCGCCCTTTTCCCTGGGGGGACTCAGGGCGGCTCACAGTTCAAAAAGGGGGAGGGGGAAGGTCAAACAATTTCCAACATAAAGACAATACATCATATTAAAAAAACATATACAGATCAGGAAGCCACAGTAAGAAGAACACAATAAAACAGATTGGCTTCAGGCAAAAGAATATGACAAGGCGGTGTACTCCCCCTGAATT